CATAAATCAAAAATATAAATGTAGGTTTGTTTTTTTTTTTTTACTATAGAAAGCTATAATATTAACATCTAAAAGAATTAAGAATGGAAACTGGACCTTGGTTGCTACTGGGAAATGAGATTAGGAGAGATGTTACTTTTCATTTTTGCACCTTAGTCTATGGCCACACAATCCTAAAGGTGTCCAATCTAGTCATTTTATGCACCTTGGTATCATTTGAAATAAAATGAATGTGCATTCACTACTTCTGTGATTAAATTTTAAAAGATCAAGAGAGTCAGGCCATGCAGGGCCTTGGATGCCAAGCAAATCGTTCTTTAGCTACAGAGGCTCATGTGACTTGGTGGGTCGGCGTCCTGCACAGGCTCACGGCAGGCAGCAAAAGGCTTTAGGACAGCCCTTCCTCACAGGGAGGGGGAGCAAAGAGGGTAGGATGGGTACGGAGGCAGAGATAAGTGATTGGAGTCAGGGCAAATAAAAAACATCTCGTGAGCTTTCTTGTCTCTCTCATCTCCAGGACCTCTCATTTGCCAGTCCCCCTCCTGCAGGAAATCGCAGGGCCTTTCAGCATCTTGATAAGCCTCCCTGGGTCACCAGGCTGCTCTCCTGCTCCTGCAGGCAGCCACCCATCCAGAGGGTGGCAAAGCATTCTCTGCCGTTTGTCAATCCCAGGAAAGCTCTTTCGTTTCTACTCACCACCTCCAGCAAGAAGAATGGTGTCAAGGTAAGAGTCTGCTCAAGAACTATCTCTGATCAAAGGCAGATTTGTCTTCTCTTGAGTCCACACTCTCATGAGTTCATGCCGGGGTAGGGCAGGCAGGGGGCGCAGGCACTCGTCAGCAACAGGCAGGAGACAGGAAGCTCCCAAAGGAAGCTTTGGCTGCTGGTAGCTTGGACTATGGGAGAGCCCAGCAGGGTCAAGCAGGGTCTTTCTGCTTCTGTTCCACTTCCCTATACACTCCTCTTCTCTTCAAATGTTCAAATCTGCTAATGAAGACAAATATTTTGTGAATTCTAATTTAGGGAGGAGATGGTATGCGGGCATTGAAAAGCTAAATTGCTGTTGATAACCTCAGGCGTCACTGATTTGCTTGCTACTCAATGTTATTTTATTTTGTTTGTTTTGTTTCTTGTATCCTTGTATCTGGCCTTGTCCCAGCAGAAAATGCAGGGCATAATCTAAGATGGTAATTTAGGAGAATTTAGCGCAGGTGGGCACAGCTAAGGGGAATCTCTAAAGGATGTTGGACCCTGACCCTCCCCCACCCCCAACCAAGACCAAGTCTTCTTAGGGAACTGTTACTATTGCTGGGCCTGATGGGGAAAAGGAAGAAGTTACCAGAACCCAGGGGGCGCTCTGGCTGGAGCTGTGGTTGTCACTGTGGTTTTAGGCAAGGGCCATCAGACAGGGGCTATGTCCTCAAGTAGCATAACACCGCCAACTGCCAACTCACAGCCTGGAACGGAGGCAGCCAGGGAGCTCAAAACCCCAATCACTCTCTTCCGCCTCCTCACCCTCCAGCCTCCTGTCAGCGTCGCCCTTTCACTGGAAGCAAATGGGAGGCAGGGGGAGAGGGAGGCCATCAGCTGGGCACTGATGCATCTCCTCCCGGAACGCAGAGACGGGCACAGAGGAAGGAAGGGAGACGACGGCCAGTGGTGAAACCCTCTCTCTTCCAAGGCCTCCTCACAGTCCTGGGACTGGGTCAGTTTCTCATTGTATTCCTCAACTTGTTTCTTTGACTGTTGGCTTGCACCTCTATCTATGTCACTTCTTTGGAATAATCTCTCACCGTCATCAGAGATGGGCTTCCCAGGGGGCGCTATCGGTAAGGAATTCACCTGCCAATGCAGGAGACACACGAGACACGGGTTTGATCCCTGGGTCAGGAAGGAGGGCACAGCAACCCACTCCAGGATTCTTGCCTGGAAAATTCCATGGACAGAGGAGCCTGGCAGGTTACAGTCCACAGGGTCACAAACAGTCAGACATGAGTAAGTGACTTAGCATGCACACATCATCAGAAATGCCTTGAGAATGTATTCATTGGGTTTTAATTTTGACATAAGGGTACCCAGGTACTTAAAAGTATTGAGTTGACCAAAACATTCATTCAGGTTTTCCATACCATCTTATGGGAAAACTTTTAACGAACCTTTTGGCCAACCCAATATTTTCAGTTTGCGATTTTGGTTTCTCTGGAGAAAAATCCATAATAAGAGTGACTTAAACTGTGTCCACCACACAGAGCTAGGCTCTGGGCACATACCAATGCATGGAGAAAAGCATCATCTGTCCTTATAAAGCTCACATATGGGGCCATTTCTAGCTCAAGAGGCCTCCTGACCCACTCACACCTGTCATAGCAAGAGCTCTTCATGACCCTAAATCATGATCTCCTTACTTCCTAGGGGGTGCATTCCTCTTAGTCACAAAGATGGCCCCACAGCATGACCTCCTGGCCCTAGAAGGTTATCTCAGTCCCAGGCAGAAGGAACGCTGAGCTTAGAGTCCTTTGGTCACCCTCTCATAATTTGCCCATATTTTTCTCCTCCTGCCTCTCTGAGGACATGACATGGCCCGGGAGGCTGACTGGAGGTGACATTCTTATGTCATTAGAGGGTCGTGTTGCAGTAGAGAGAGCCGAGGCAATAGATTCAGAGAGTTGCTGTTGTTGTTCAATCTCTAAGTTGTGTCCGACTCTTTGCGACCCCATGGACTGCAGCACACCAGGGTTCCCTGCCCTTCACTATCTCTCTGAGTTTGCTCAATCTCATGCCCATTGAGTTGGTGATTGCTATCTAACCAGCTCATCCTCTGCCACCCCTTTCTTCTTTTGCCTTCAACCTTTCCCAGCATCAGGGTCTTTCCAGTGAATCAGTTCTTCACATCAGGGGGCCAAAGTATTGGAGCTTCAGCTTCAGCATCAGTCCTTCCAATAAATATTCAGGGTTGATTTCCTTTAGGATTGACTGGTTTGATCTCCTTGCTGTCCAAGAGGCTCTCAAGAGTCTTCTCCAACACCACAGTTCAAAAGCATCAATTTTTTGGCATCAATTCTTTATGGTCCAACTCTCACATCCATACGTGACTACTGGAAAGACCATAGCTTTGAGTATATGGACCTCTGTCAGCAAACTGATGCCTCTGTTTCTTAATATGCTGACTAGGTTGGTCATAGCTTTTTTCCAATGAGCAAATATCTTTTAGTTTCATGGCTGAAGTCACCATCTGCAGTGATTTTGGAGCCCAAGAAAAGAAAAATCTGTCACTGCTTCCACTTTTTCCCCTTCTGTTTGCCATGAAGTGATGGGGTCAGATGCTATTGTCTTAGTTTGTTGAATGCTGAATTTTAAGTCAGCTTTTTCACTCTCCTTTTTTACCCTCATCAAGAAGTTTTTTAGGTCCTCTTCACCTTCTGCCATTAGAGTGGTATCATTTGCATATCTGAGGTTGTTGATATTTCTCCTGACAGTCTTGATTCTGGCTTATGCTTCATCCAGCCCAGCATTTCACATGATGTACTTTGCTTAAGTTAAATAAGCAAGGTGACAATATTGTACTCCTTTCTCAATTTTAAACCAATCACTTGTTCCATGTCTGGTTCTAATTATTGCTTCTTGACCTGCACACAGGTTTCTCAGGAGGCAGGTAAGGTGGTCTGGTATTCCCATCTCTAAGAATTTTCCACAGTTTGTTGTGATCCACACAGTCAAAGGCTTTCGTGTAGTCAATGAAGTAGAAATAGATGTTTTTCTCAAATTCCCTTGCTTTCTTTATGATCCAGTGAATGTTGGTAATTTGGTCTCTTGTTCCTCTGTGTTTTCTAAACCTTGTACATCTGGAAGTTCTCAGTTATGTACTGTTGAAGCCTAGCTTGAAGGCTTTTGAGCATAACCTTACTAGCATGTGAAATGAGCACAATTGTACAGTAGTTTGAACACTCTTTGGCATTGCCCTTCTTTGGAATTGGAATCAAAACTGACATTTTCCAGTCCTGTGGCCCCTGCTGAGTTTTCCAAATTTGCTGGCATATTAAGTGTAGCACTTTAACAGCACCATCTTTTAGGATTTGAAATAGCTCAGCTGGAGTTCCATCACCTCCACTAGCTTTGTTCGTAGTGATGCTTCCCAAGCCCCACTTGACTTCACACTCCAGGACGTCTGGCTCTAGGTGAGTGACCACACCAGCATGGTTATCCGGGTCATTAAGGCCTTTTTTGCATAGTTCTTCTGTGTGTTCCTGCCATGTCTTCTGAGTCTCTCCTGCTTCTGTTAGGTCCTTACTGTTTCTGTCCTTTATCATGCCCATTCCTGCATGAAATTTCCCTTGATGACTCTAATTTTCTTGAAGAGCTCTGTAATCTCTTCCATCCTATTGTTTTTCTCTGTTTCTTTGCATTTTTCATTTAAGAAGGCCTCCTTATCTCTCCTTTCTATTCTCTGGAATTCTGCATTCAGTTGGGTGTATCTCTCCCTTTCTCTCTTGCCTTTCACTTCTCTCCTTTCCTCAGATACTTGCAAGGCCTTTTCAGACAACCATTTTGCCTTCTTGCATTTCTTTTTCTTTGAGATGGTTTTGGTCACTGCTTCCTGTACATTGTTACGAACCTCTGTCCACAGTTCTTCAGGCACTCAGTCTATCAGATCTGATCCCTTGAATCTATTCATCACCTCCACTGAATAATCATAAGGGATTTGATTTAGGTCATATCTGAATGGTCTAGTGGTTTGCTTTGCTTTCTTTAGTTTAAGCCTGAATTTTGCAATGAAGAGCTCATGATCTAAGCCATAGCTCCAGGTATTGTTTCTGAGTCAGAGAGAAGTGGGTTTAAATATTCCAGGTCTCCAGGGCTGTGTGGACTGCAGTAAACATCAAAATCTCTGCAAGCCCCCAGTTCCCTCCTCTGTGACAGGGGGACAGTAACTCCCACCTAGCAGGGTGGCCGTGAGAATGGATGATCACAGCGCAGGTGCTTTCACATCTTTGTGTTCCCAGGAACACCAGCGGAGGGTTTCTGAGCTTGGATCCAACCACCGCAGCCTGGGAGACAGCATTCACATCCATGAATCACACTGGCCAGGCCCATCCTCAAACTTTCAACGCGGTGACCGTGACCCTGTACCTGCTGACGGCCGTCATCGCCCTGGGGGGACTGGCGGGGAACGCGGTGGTGCTCTGGCTCCTGGGCTTCCACGCGCGCAGGAACGCCTTCACCGTCTACATTCTCAACCTGGCGGCAGCCGACTTCCTGTGCCTTTGCTGCCAAGTTATCGATTCCGTGGAGGCCCTCATCACCTGCTGCAGCCACAGTTCCAGCCCCGCCTTCCTCGCCACGGTGATGACCTTCGCCTACCTGGCGGGCCTGAGCTTGCTCAGCGCCATTAGCACCGAGCGCTGCGTGTCCGTCCGGTGCCCCGTCTGGTACCGCTGCCACCGGCCCACGCACTTATCAGCCATCGTGTGCGCCGTGCTCTGGGCCCTGGCCCTGCTGCTGAGCACCCTGGAAGGGAAGTACTGTGGCTTACTCTTAACGAGTTTCAGCCGTCTTTGGTGTCGGGTGTTCGATTTCCTCGCTGCCGGGTGGCTGATGTTCTTATTTGGGCTCCTGGCGGGGTCCAGCCTGGCCCTGCTGCTCAGGATCCTCCGAAAGTCCCAGCGCACGCAGCTGACCAGGCTCTATGTGACCGTGGTGCTCACAGTGCTGGCCTTCCTGCTCTGCGGCCTGCCCTACGGCATCCTCTGGTTCCTCTTAATCTGGATTCAGGATGACCTGTTTGCCATCCCCTGTCACCACTGCCTGGTCGTCTTTGGTTTGTCCTGCGTCAACAGCTCCGTCAACCCCATCATTTACTTCTTCGTGGGCTCCTTCAGGCAAAGGCAGGCAAAGAAGCGGGGGCGGCGGACCCTCAAGGCAATGCTCCAGCAGGCCTTGGAGGACATATCAGAAGTGGGTGAGAGCGAAAGCTCGCTTCCTCGGGCAACCCTGGGGTCGGGAAACAGTCTGGTGTCGGGAAGCGGCCTGGTGTCCTGATTCAGGGTCTCTGCCTTGGTCAGACACACTGCGGCTTTGAGCGACAACTTCCTCTCTATCACTTCGGGAGGATTTCTTAGGTTCCCTCAGCCTCTGGACCCACCCTGACTGTAAAACGGTTAAATAAACCATCTGGGTGCTGAGGATTAAGGGAGACAGTGCCTGTCGCACAAGCACTGTGTGTTGTCTTCAGGGCTGTCTTACCCAGGGGTCTTCACCCCACCCATAGGAGCTTCGCCAACTCTGGGTTCCAGGACTGTTTCCACTTATGAAGAATCCCACCTTCAGCAGAAGTTGAACACATGCACAAAAGGTCTTAAGTTTCTTTGGTCACTGCACTTGCTAGGTATTAAACATTACATTTTTGACCAGTTTCTTACAATCTGTTACTTTCTTACAATCAGTTTTTATACAAGGAAAAGAATTCAATTTCCATCGAACCCCAAAGAGTAGTCTTTGATTTTGCCAGGCCTCAGAATGACTCCTAAACTGAATAAATGTTTATTGAACAAATGACTTAATGAATGAAAAAAAAAATGATGAATTTTGAAGTCCAGCCTGTGCTAAATCTCCATTTACCAGATTTGAATCCCATCTTTAAGTCTATTGCTTTCACCATTTTCAACTTTTTCAAGCACGACGTTTTATAACCAGATAAATCATTAATAAAGCATATCTGAGGTTTGTGATGGGTCATCTTCCTATGGTTTCCTTCTGCATACCCTCCAGTAGAATCTGACATGCACGCCTTCTCACTCCTACTCCTTCATCGTTGCCCTGGAGCTCACTGATCCTTCATGCACATTTCCAACGTGTCTTACTAGACTCCGTTCTCTGAGAACAGGATCTGTGTCAGATTTACCTTCTATTTCAAAGAACTCACAGCACTGATTTTAGTAAGCTAGTTACACACAAAATATTTTTGCTACTTGTTCTATAAAAAATAAAATATTAAGCTTAAATGTTGCATCTTTCAATAGTTTTTAACTGAAGTCTAATTAAGACAGAATGATTGCACAGATCATTAGTGGATACAGTTCAATGAGTTTTGGCAATAAATACACACCCATGTGATTGACATAGACACACTTCAATATATATAAAATAGATAACTAATAAGTACAGGAAACTCCTTAATACTCTGCAATGATCTGTATGGGAAAAGAATCTAAAAAAGAGGGGCTATACATACATGCATAACTGATTCACTTTTCTGTACAGCAGAACCTAACACAATATTGTAAATGAACTATACTCTAATAAAAAAAATTTTTTTAATAAATAAATATGCACCCATGTAACAAAAAGCTCCCATCAAAACATAACACATTTTCATCACCTCTGAAAGATCCCTCATGTCCCTCCCAGGCATTCCTCCTGCCCCAGGGGCAACCATCATATCTACTTCTGTCACCAAAGATTACTTTTGCCTGAACTTTGACTCATACAATGCACTTTCTTGTTCCTGCCTTCCTTCACTCAGCATAACATTTGGGGGATGTACTTATGCATTGCACATATCAGTAGTTTGTCTCCTTCATTGGATGGGTGTCTGCAGTTTATTTTCATGTTGACAGATAGATGTGGAGTATTACACTTTTGACTATTGTGAATAAAGCTGCTGTGAACATCCTTATTCAAATCTTTTGGACATAAGTTTTCATTTCTCTTGGGTAAATAATCTGAACTGAAATTGCTGGGTCTCATGGAGCAACTTTATAGAAACTCTCAAATTCTTCTTAAGTGGTTGTGCTATTTCCCCTCCCCACCAGTGATGTGTGGAAATTCCAGTTCTTGTGCACGTTTCCTGACAAGCATGGTGCTACCAGTCTTTGGAGTTTCAGCCCTTCGGATGAGTATGAAGTGGTATCTCATTATGTTTTCATTTGCATTTCCCAAATGACTTAAGAAATTGAACATCTTTTCATGTGCTTACTGACTACTTGTTTTTCTTTGAAGTGTCTGTTTACCTTTTCCCCTTTTTCATAAAGTGTTTCCCTTTTTCAATATTTGTAGGAGCTTCTATGTGCTGAATATGAGTCCTTTGTGAGTTATGCATATTATAAATATTTATCCAGTTGGTGGTTTTGCCTATAATAGATTTTATATTTCAAAGCACATTTAAATTTATAGAAGAATGTTGCAGAAAGCAAAGGGGGTTCCCATATACTCCCTCTCCCCACCCCACTCCCCTACACAGTTTCTCCTATTACCAACATTTTCCATTAATGAGGCACATTTATTGAAACTGATGAGCCAATAGTATTAACTTAATTCCATAGTTTACATTAGAGTTCAATCTTTGTGTTATAAAGTTCAATGGTTTGACAAATGCAGAATATCATGCATCTACCATTTTAGTATCATACAGAATGCCTTTTCAGTCTCCAAAATGAATACATAGAACATTTATCACAGTTATTTTAAATTCTCATTCTGACAATTCCTCGTATCTCAGCCAGGTTCTAAATTCTTATATAGAGAATCTTATATGGGGTATCATATGTGGAATCAATTGATTCTATTGTTAATACTGATAAATTAAAAATTAGAAATATAAGTTTACTCTTCAAATGTATAGCCATTACTGCGAGACAGGAGAAGGATTGAACCAAATGTTGAGTGACATTTCATGAGGGGTCATGACTCAGAAAACTCCACACTCTCGTTTGCCAGCAGGTCCCTATATAGGAAATCACAGGATGGTGCAGAATCCTTGAGAAGTCTCACTCAGGTACCAGGCTTCACCCTTCCTCCTGCTGGCACCTCGCCAAGGCAGAGAAGCATCCTCTAGAGACTGTAGTCCCATGAGACTTCTCCCATCAGCGCAGGCCAGCTTGGCAATTCCAGCAAGAATAACAGAGGAAAGGTACATTTATCGAGTATTTATTTCTGGAGCCACTGTTGGGTTTTTCCTCTTAGTGCCCATTCACATAACTCTACCTGGGGTGGAGTATTCAGGAAGCCACAGGGCAGGTGGGGTCAACAGCAAAGGGCAGGAGACAGGAAGCCTCCTTCTGGCAACTTTGGAGACTGTTAGCCTTGACCTTGAAGATCTGAACTGATGAATCAATACGGTTCCCCTTGATGAATCAAGACCTCATCCCCATTCTCCTCTCCTTTTCAACCACTCAAATGTGCTATCATCATGAGAAATCTGCTTCTGTCCTTAATTCAGGGAGCAAGATAGAGCATATGCATGCATCCCCAAACTAAAGTTATGAGGAAAATCCAGGCATTTGTTTCACTTCCTTTCAAATGTGCTTTTCCTTTCTGTAGCTCCCGGGCTTTCAGCAGATAATAGATGGCCTAATATGTGATGGTTAAAAAGAGTTTAATTAAGAGACAGTTTACTTACCTGAATAGGTTAGAGAAACTTACATGGGACACTGACCTTTTTCCACTGGGGGAAGTAATAGGCTTGAAATAGGCTTTTACTATCCTTGAAAGACAAGGGAAGAAGAAGTTACCAGAACTTAGGGAGGGCTCTAGCTATAGCTGTCATTGTGACTGTCTGAAAGGGCCACCAGACAAGGGCTCCATCCCTAAAAGTAGAGTTACATCACCACTGCCGACTCCGCCTGGCAAGAGAAAGGCAGGATGCTAAAAAAAAAATCCCCAGATTGTTTTCCTTCCTCCCTCCAATCACATGTCAATGTCTCCCTTTCACTGAAAGCATCCAGGAGCCAGAAGGAGAGGGAGGCCATCATGAAACACAGAGATGTCTTCTCCCAGGACAGAGAGAAGGGTACAAAAGATGGAAATGAGATTTGATGACAAGTCTTACAGCCTCCTCACAGTTGCTATTTCCTGGAACCTTCTCTATCTCAGCATGATTAGATCAATCTCTCATTGTATCTCACACGGTTTGTTTCTTTGACTGCTTCCCTGTTTGCATCCCTATCTGGTATCACTTCTTTAGAATAATCTCTCACTATCATCATGAACTCCTTAAGCACAAAATGCAGATTTTTTTAAAAGGATTTTTAAAGTATTTTAAGTTTGCGATTTGGGCTTCTCTAGAAAGAAAGTCATTATAAAAGTGACTCAGGGACTTCCCTGGTGGTCCAGTGGTTAAGACTTTGAACTTCCAATACAGGGACATGGGTTCAATTCCCAGGGTCTGGGAATTAAGATACTGCATGCCACACACTGCAGTAAAAAAAAAAAAAGAGTGACTTAAACAAGAAAGAAGTTACTATTAATAGGACTAGACTGATGCCTTCGAGGCGCTAGATACCTTTTAAATTACTGCTCCCCATCCCTAGAGAGACGACTTCATCCTTGAGGTTCTGAATGGCTCCCGGACACATGAGCATTCCATCCAGAGAAGAGGAGGAGGAAATGCATAACCCAGGAGTTGGTTACATCACTTCTGCTCACCTCCCACTGGCAAATGTCTAATCACATCCTGCCATACAGCATTAAGGGAGGCTGGGACAAGGATCCTTTTTCTTGCCTAAAACTCTCAGAATTGTATGATAGAAGTAATGGATATTTGGAGCAACTATCAGTTTCTGCACCTCTGAATCTCTCACATGGCAAGCTCACATTAAGATTTTTCTTGGGGAAACACAAACTTTAAAGGACACAATGGACCAGCTAGACCTAATTGACATCTATAGGACGTTTCACCCCAAAACAATCAACTTTACCTTTTTCTCAAGTGCACACGGAACCTTCTCCAGAATAGATCACATCCTGGGCCATAAATCTAGTCTTGGCAAATTCAAAAAAACTGAAATCATTCCAGTCGTCTTTTCTGACCACAGTGCAGTAAGATTAGATCTCAATTACAGGAAAAAAATTATTAAAAATTCAAACATATGGAGGCTAAACAACATGCTTCTGAATAACCAACAAATCATAGAAGAAATCAAAGAAGAAATCAAAATATGCATAGAAATGAATGAAAATGAAAACACAACAACCCAAAACCTATGGGACACTGTAAAAGCAGTGCTAAGGGGAAGATTCATAGCATTACAGGCCTACCTCAA